TTTTGAACCTTAAACCGCATAAACACATTGCATTACACCAAATACACCAAATAATGTTCTTTTTAGCAGCATCATATGACCCCTTTAAACAACACAAATATATTCGCTATTTGCCATGGTGGATCGATTTGATCCATGATCGTCATTAAGGGCTGCTTAAGAATAAGCGTGCACATGAAATTATCTTGACTCACTGAACCTGAATCAAATTAGGATTAGTGAGATTGCGTGAATTTAAATGGTCGTTTATGAAACTGCTTTAGTCCCGATTGATTTGTTAGGTTATTTCAAGTCAGGTTTTGGAAATAAATCCCCACTTTTCTTAGCGTCTTTTATGAAACAGACCCCGGGTCTGTCTTTCTTTCTTTATTGGTTTTATCAGCGGGCTGAAGATCTACAGCGCCTCCTACTGTGTAACACCGTATCCTTACTACTCAAGCAATTTGGGTGTCCACTAGTCTCGTGTAGCCAGACCTATAGACTGACGGTCTGAAGGTCTGGAATTCATGGCAGCTTTCTTTGGCCAAGGCCTGCACATGAGGCCGTTTGACCGACATGTCAAACAACCAATCACAGTTCGTTTCGTTCATCGTCACGTTTCGGGGCTTAGAAATGTCACCACAATAACAGACACGTTTCGGGGCTTAGAAATGTCACCACAATAACAGACTCTCTGTAAAACTCTCGGACGTATTTTAAAGATTCTATGCCACGAACTTTAAATATTTCACATACTTTTGAAAATCCAGCATTTAGTTGATCCTGATAAGCACTCGTCATCACAGTTGTAAACACGACGGCTTTCTTCTTTCGTGAGGGGGTTTGGCGTCACGCCATCTTTGTTTCCAGGCGGAACGTTAAAGAACGCGACAAGCACGTCTACCGGAAATCCTGTATAATTCAACCAATCCGACGATGACTTCGAAACTCCTGAAGTGTTTCCACTTTTGTGTGCCATATGCATTAGACGTTTAGCCAATGGTCTGTGGGCGTGATGTCTGAGGCTGAGACTAGGTGTCCACTAGACGCGACGCGACACCGCAACAGAATCAATCAAATATCACAGCCAATCAGAAGCGTGTGTGGGCGGGCTCTCTATGGAAGCGCTCTGCACTCACAACGACCTGGATAAGTTTATAATCTAATTCGTAAATATGAAACATTTTTAACATTATTAAAAGTACATACTGAGTTACTGATACCATGTTATGGAATGCACTCTGTTCGCAGTGAGTTCACAGTTTTAACGTACATCTTTGCTTTAATTTATTTTCGAGATCTGACTGTTGTTGCTTTAAGAATGGTTATAAATGCCATGCAATATGATAGTCAAACTCACATTAGACACTTTTAACATTGAATAAAGCACAACGGTGTTAGACTGAGAACAAACTACATTTATTCAGGTTAAATACTAATGAATCTTACTTTTATGTTTAAAACCCTCACTGACATGTTTCTGCTATGCGACGAGCACTAAACAATTGTTTTATGCTCCTTTGAGCTCTTTCTTTTTTGTGATTTTATTGAAGGGTTGCACCATCTGTGTTGCACTGAGAATCGACACTATTGTTGATGAGAATTTCATAAATTCAGTGATAGACTACTGAATCTTTTGTCTGCTTAAAAGTCGAGTTTTGCGTAATTATTTACATTCTGACATAAAAACTAAATAAAAGCAATACTCACATATTGTAGCTAGATAAACCAAGAGATTCTCCTCAGAGTCAGACTGACCGTCAAAACCGTTAACATTTAAAAGGCTGAGATTCCCGCTTCAAGACGTGACGTGTTGACTTGTACGGTTGTCCAGGCAACTGAAAACATTTGAAATACTAGGGGTGGATTTGTATGAAAACCAAGTTTGTGTGTGTGTTAATGCGATAAAGGTCGTTAAATGGATTTAAAAACATGTTAAAGTGTTTGCTCACTCAGCAGGGAGAAATTAGAAACCATGATTATAGGCGGAGCTGCTGTATGACATCACTGCAGGTTAGTGAAATAATTAAGTGAATGTGAAACTAAATTAAACAGATGAGCTGGAAGTTTTTAGAAACATCAACCTCTTTATTCAAACACTGAAACTATTGATCACATCTGATATTCATTCATAGGTAAGTGATCCAAGGAAGAGCTTGTTCAGCAGTTTTGAACTCTGAAGTAGAATCAGAATTAGAATTGACTGTAAGGTTTTATGTGTGCTCTAAAGTCAAAACCTAAAAATTAAAGATTTAAGAAACAAAGTACATGAACTTAAGACAGAATGGACCAATAAAGTCCAATAAAAACTACAATTAAAACACAAATATAATACATTACACCTGGTGTTTGCAGGTATTTATTTTGTGGTGAGGTAAGTTTTGTAAGCTAATTGTTTAAAAAATATAAATTTAACCCCTTTTGTTGTTGTCTTTCATATATAGGAGGAAACTTGTATTATAATGTTGTTGTAAAGACCTGTTTCATACACATTATATTCAGTTTCAGTATTGTAATTCTAATTAGCACATAACTGACAATCAAATACTTAAAAAAAACCCAGCAATTATTAGTTTATTTTTTATGTAGGATCTCTGTAATTTCAACTCCAAATATAAAATTCCCTCTGTTTTGTTACCTTTACCACTGTATGCAATTAAACATGGGCACGGATATAACCATGAACTGACCTTCAGTTTTTCGAAAAGGGAAATTACCCAAAGTTAACCCACAAGTTAAACCAGTTTACAAGACTGAATACTTATTTTGTCATTACTTATCTTTTCAGTCATGGCAACCTCTAGTGGTGCACTAAATGAGGAGCTCCAGTGCTCCATCTGTCTGGATGTGTTCACTGATCCAGTCACCACTCCATTCAAAAAATCAGAAGTACAAAAATGAAGCGAGCAAACATCCATTCATTTTGCGATCTTCTGCAAGTAATGGGTAAACAGCTGCCACTCTGATGACGCAACCGTACAGTGGTTCAGAACAAAAAAAAACAAAAACAAAAAAAAACCCAGTATGAATACAAAACCAGTGGGGACAGTGGGAGGAGGGGGGAGCAATCGAACCCTGGTTTGGACCAAGCAATCAAACCAAAGTGTGAAAGCACCCTAAAAGATACAAAACAACCATTTTGAATTCATGGGGTTTTAAAATGGTTTCCATATTCAACTTTTTGTCAAAAGATGGAATGCTAAATTCAGTTATAAATGTCTTCTTCTGTTTATGTACAATCAGCTGGTTAAGAAAAAGACAGACGTGCAGCAGATGATCCAGAACAAAATTAAGAAGATTCAAGAGATCCAACACTCAGTAGAACTGCGAAAAGTAAGTGGAAGTAAAAAAAAAATTTAAAACTGATTATGCATTATAATATATTGCTCAAAAAAATGATGGGGACTGTTACGGCCCAGAACTAAATTTGGCTCATTTAAATCACAATAGGCCTGGACCGAACATATAATAAATCACACAACAAGTTCTGGACAAACACAGAGACCTGCTTCTGTCCATCCTGTAAAGTAACATTCAGCAAAAGAACTGATCTCATGATTAATACAAACAGGGGCACCATTATGGGTGGGAAGGTTACGATGATTCAAAGAGCCCTGGTCAGAGAGGTGGACCCCGGAACGCAACCTCTACTGGGGGGTACAAACCAACCCACGCTCCTCCGAACGCAATCTCTACTGAGGAGGAAAAACAAACCCCCGGTCCCGCTCCCCCGAATCCGATCTCTAAGGGGGAGAAACCAACCCCAGCTCCCCCGAATGCAATCTCTACCGAGGGCCCATGTCAATATGATATTCAGAGGGCCCAGAAACCATATTGGCACCCCTGAATACAATGCTGAGAGTGTTGCGGAACACTTTAAGGAGAAGCTCAATCGAGGAAGATCTGAGGTGTTCTGTGACATCTGTGATGGAAGAAAGCAGAAAGCCGTGAAGTCCTGCCTGACGTGTCCCATCATTTTTTTTGAGTGCGTCCTCGCCAAGTTTTAATCAAACACAAAAAAAGAAAAAAAGATATCAGAACAGCACAGATCACAAGTTGCACAAATAGAAAAATAATTAACAAACACAAACATATATATAGATATAACAGCAAGCAGGTAGGGCAGTTAAGGATACAAAAACCCAGACTACACCTGGCCACCTGGAGAGATCATACCTAGCTCCCGTGAAAACAAACAAACAGCTGAGTCTTGTGGGCCACTGCTTCCCTCGCTGAACTTACTAAATAACAAAACGTGACTAACAAAGAAAAACAAATCCACTGCCTGCTACTGAAAATAGACAAAGTAAAAAATAAGAAAAAGAGAGAGTAGAGAGGCGATGAGCAATCTCGCCGTGAGCGAGAGACCCAGCGAACAAAAGCAGAGAGAGATCCGCCATCGAGGTTTAAATAGTAGAAATCCCCGATGACTTCACTCCACTTTCGAGGATCCGGAAGAATTCCCCCGCTCACACCTCCACCTAAAGGCTAAGAAAAAAAAAACATCACACCCAGAACAACTGCTCTATGAGCAGACCCACGTAACAGGGACACTTAAATCACACATTTAAATCAAGTTTAAAATCTTATACACATTGTATAATTTGTTGAGAACAAAATGATGTGACAATTGTCATTGGAAATTAAAATCATTAACCCAATGAGGGCTGGATTCAAAATCACACTGAAAATCAAAGTATTTACAGGCTTGCATGAATTTGCAAGCCACTCATGAAGTAATTGGCTCCCACATGCCTGTATGCACTCCCGACAACGTCTAGACCAGGGGTCTCCAACCTTTTTGTGAGTGAGGGCTCCCTGAAGGGATAAAATAGTCTCAAGGGCTACTTGTTTGATATACTCCAAATATATATATATTTTTGTTCTGCAGAGATGATCAGACGAGTGTGTGTCTGTCCTGCACTGAAGGAGACCACAGGACTCACAACACTGTTCCTATAGAGGAGGAGAATCTAGAGAAGGTCACAAACATAACACTTTAAAGACCAAATGAAATGCCTCTTTTTTGTGCGTTGACATGTTGAAGAACATGTCCCCCAGGGTCCGCATAAAAAGGGTGGTCTGGGGCATGGTTCATGTGAATTCCTGTACGGTCCGTTTCTGATGTGAACACAATCTTACTAAATCATGGAAGTGAACCACTATTAATGATGTATGAATTGGTCAAAATGTGTATTTAAGTGTTTACTCACTCGCTTTTCTGATAAGCATGACTGACACGCTGCAGCAGAAATATATATATA